ATGTGCCATAAAACTTTTCCACAACATTCATATTATAACCTTCATAATTAAATTAGATTGCAAGTGACATACACATTCTGTGACATAAGATAATTGTGTCTGTCACAAATTTCCAGATTTGACTGTGAGTAGCTTAATGGGATAACAGGGCAATCAGCTCTATAGCAATGCTCATGGTCTTCCTTTCACATTCATTGCTAGAAGTCAAATAAGTAACTTTATCCTGGTATAATGCTGATGAGAAAGGAGATCCTACCTCCCTCTGCTTTGTCATTAAAGCATGAAGAGTGTGTCCAGCTTCTGTGGTGTGCTTGGCACTGGCAATATTTTAATATCATTAGCAGCAGGAAATATTTTCTATGCCAGTAATGAAGTTCAGTGTCAGCTAAAGGTGGTGAGCCACAGAAAGACTTTAGTCAAAATCACTATATTCTAATACGAAAAAGGCTAGAAATAATACCTTATTTTTGTGAAAGGCGTTTGTTCAGTATGGAGTGATCCTGGCTAATGAAGAAGGGACCTGCCAGAGTTATTTTTGGTTCCACCCACTGGTTTCACTGCTATTCACGTAGCTGTGGCTGGAAGGGAAATTAGGATGGTGTGCTCTATTCTTATACAGAAATGGAAGAAGAATGGAAATATGTGTGTGTATATAAAGATAAAAAGAGCAAGAGCTGAAGAGAAAGTGAGCTTTCCTGTGTAGCTGCAGACGTGACGTTCATTAGACCTTTCCTTGGGAGGGTTTTTCTTCTGCAAGGCCAGGTTTCTTGTCTGATTGAAGGGCTAGCAGTATGCCAGGTGCAGTCTGTATTGCAGGAGAAGATCAGAGTTTCTACTTGGAAGTTGTTACAGTTAAGAGAAACCATTAAAAAATTTCCTTTGTTATCCTGGAGACATAATCCAATAAATACTTTAGTCTCACACTAATGTTCCTCTAAAAATACTGAGGCTAAGAAGTATTCAACTTATATATTGTCACTTGGGAGAGGGGAAAGACATCAATGAATCACATGCAGAATAATAAGACATAAAAAATAAATATGGAGTCAGGCAGGGCTCCTATTGCAAAGCAGCAGCACAAGCTTTCTTCATTAGCAGAAAAGAGTGTGTATACAAAGAGCACTTTACCCAGCCAGAGAGATTATTTGTTATACCTTCTTTGCTTTCTATTTCAGCAGTGATTTTTTTCCCCATCCTCACTGGGAGGAACAAGTTTTGGTTCTCAGAGTTTCACTGGGGAGATGAGGATTTTATTTTAAGCTCCATTTTATTTGATACTGCTTTGTCCTGATTTTATGAGTGAAATGTGGGTGTACTAAAAAGCAACAAGACAGGGAGACATGGGGTTCATGCCCAGTAGTTTGATTGATGGCTTCTTGTTTTTCTGAGTGAGCCTCATGAGTTGAGGGGTGGTGGTGCTTCAAACAAATATTTTGTAATGATAATTCAATTCCTACTGCAAGGATGATTTTGTGCTTAAGACTGGAAATTAAGATGAGAAGTTGTAGATTCAGTTGCCTTCTTTTGCTACAGCTCCCCTTCAGTGAAGTGTATATAATACACCTTTCTCCCATCACCCATTTTTCTTTATAAATTTGGGGCAACAGCCATTTATTTTTGCAAAGCACTTAAGTGAGGTTCCCACCTTCATTTTGCTCTTCATTTGAATTTTGAGAAGGACGTTTAAGAAGAATAAAATGCTGTGGTAGCCAGGACCTGGGAGTACATCCTGGGTGCAGCATGGGAACAGCGTGAGATGAGGATGCAGGAGAAGACCCAGAGGGGAGGACCAGTGTGTGCTGGCCAAGCACAGGGCAGCAAGTGGTAAAGGTGTCACAGCTTCCCTTCATGCTGGTGTTCCCCACAGGAGCCTGGTTGGAGGCAGGCATAATGCAGTGAGAAGCCTGGTGAACTGAGAGGAGTGAAGTGGAGTTGGATTTTCAAGAGTTTGATACACTGAATCCTCTGATGGTGCTAGTTACCCTGCCTGATTTCAAAGGGACACAACTGAGAGCTACTTGCTGCTGTAGGTGACTCGAAATTGCCCAGCTGTGCACTTCACAGTGACAGTAAGGGGCTTTTTTCCCCTCTTCAGTCTAATCTAAAGGTTTGTTTTCACCATGCACAAGCCATGAGAGAAGCAATGATGGAGTTTGCTTGACCAGAGCTCCTGGCCCACATGAACAGTTACTGCCTCTGTTGGCACTGTGTTCACTGTTGACCAGAAATGTGGCTTGCCACATCATATTGACTACAGCACGCTGTGCTTGCATTAATGGTGTGATGTGGAACATGTCTGCTTGCTGCAGGGCTTGTGTGAGGAAACTTAAGGGCAAGTATGCTTCCATAAATAATGTGCTTTTGCTGTGGAAGAAATGCCAGCCAGATGAGGAACTGAAAAGAAAAAAAAGAAAAAGAAAAAGTGAAAAAGTTCTTTATTAGGTAATACCTCTTGTCATCCCATGATCTGTGTTTAGAAAGAAAAAAGTTTCAAAATTTTACTTTTTTTTTTAATCCCTACCTTCTTTAAATTGCATGGATGAGTCATCCTTTAAAATTAAAGAATTAAAAGAACAAGCCTCATTTAAAAGCTTCCTGCAGTCACTCACACAAACTCTAAAACCAGCTAGAGATTGGTCTGAAAGATGCAGGAGAACATCCAGGATGGAAGTTTGAATTCCGAGCATTGTGGCATTTCCCACTGGGGCACAGCAAGATCACAGCAAAATCAACTTCCTCCACTGTACTTGCTAAACCCGGGTACCAACTTTGGCTTATCTGGTGGGGAAAGATGTTCAGCAACATCTTTATCTATTTTTGGTTGCTCATTAACCTAATAAATCCATCTCCAATTGGGTAATTTTTTAAAAAGTGGTAAAAAGGAGTTGGGGTATCATATTTTTGCAGCTTCAACCAGGCTGAAGGCTGTTTCATGTCTGTATAATGCCACTTGCCTTCACCCTGCTGTGTGTGCTCTGTTCACCTACAACGTCTCAGGGTTCTTGTGGGGTGTTCCCAGCATGGCTGGCTGGCAGAAGGTTGCCCTGAAAATGTGTGCTGAGGGCTTTCTGGCAAAGACAGGAAGGATGGTCATGTTTCTGTCCTAGGGACTGTGCATAGCTACGCTGTCCTCCCCGTGGTCCTCATGGGTGCTAACATTTGCAAGAGCTGTTTGCAACCTTTTTGTGCAACACAGGTGGAGGTGGGGCCGCAATGTACTGTAGAGGGAAATCCCAGCTGAACCCAGTCAAAGCTGTAGTGCCGAGAAGGTCCAGGAGCTTTGCTGCAGAAAGCTTGGACAGGCAGAAGGATTTGAAGTGACCATCAAGCATGTGCATGATGGAGATACTGGGTTAAAGCAAATTACATGTGTGGATCTCAGCAAGGTTCCACCTTCTCGCCATTTAGCGCTGTCAGAGGAGAGAGGCAGTTCAGGGCAGGACCACGGAGACTTTCACATGCCGAGAGAGCTGTATTGACAGCAACCACAAAGCTCCAGGCTGGCGTGGGAGCAGAGCCGGGGCAGAGGACTGCATTTCAGGGATTGTGCCTTCCCTGGCTCATTCTGAGGGCTCTCTGTTTCAGGCACCATATAGCAGGCATTAATTGTATTTGCATATGATATCACTTCTGCAGAAGAAGCTGCCTATTCATGAGCAGTAGCATCTTCACAACAAATATAACTGCAGACATGGCTGAGAAAACAACCATTTAATTGAAATAGAAATTACACTGGAAAATTCAAAGAGAGTGCGAAAAACTCCCAAGTAGTTACCAGTCACTGGAAGGAAATCCCAGACATGTACGACATGGGATGCACACAAAGGCTGGGAGAAATAGAATTTATGTGTAGACATACCTCTGCCCTCAAGGCATGTGTTTCTTCAGATGATGCCCCGAACTCTCTTGAAATTAAATACATAGTTTGGGCCAATCCTGCTCCGATTCCTCCGGAGCACACAGCATGCTGCAAAGGACAGACCCCCCGCTCCTGACAGCCTGACCCTCAAATATTTGGAGGCTGCTGCCTGCCCCTCGGGTAGGATTCCTGCAAACACAGCCTGCCTCTGCAGTGGGTTCAGGGGGTGATTTTCCCCACATTAACACGGCCGGGTGCGGTGTGTGACCGTGAGGCAGGCACTGTGCCCGCACAGCGATGCCATCTCTGCCCAATCTGTCATTGCCCGGGCTCCTGCCTGGGCAGACCATTTCAGAGCTGGGTCTGAGAGATTCCAGAGAGCACTGGGACGAAGCACAGCCATAGCAAAGTCTTTCTGTCCTCGGTTCTGCTTATCTTGAACCTGTTCTCGCAGCTCCCTTCTGTCATTTCTCCCCACTTCTGTAGCAGCTGTCTGAGCTTTCAGCTGTTGGGTGGCGAGCAGAGCTGCCAGCACCCGTTAAATCACTACAGAGGAGTAAGGGTGCGTTCCCCATCCTGCGGAGGAAAGAAGAAAGACAAAGTTTGGGGTTCGGTTTTTTTTTTTTCCCTTGTGGAAGACAAGTGCTTGTCAAAGATAACTAGGAGGGGTCTGGAGGTTATTCGTAAATTAATTAGCCTCTGAAAGGAGAGGACTGCAAGCAGTGCCAGATAAACCCATAGCAGCCGCACCCCTGCAGCAAACAAAACCCCTTTCCTCTCCTTTGGAACATCAGGGGTTAATTCAGTAGCTATGCATTTAATAGCTCAATTTAAAGGGGAAGAAATGACACCCTTCTCCCCTGCCTTGCTGGTTGTGGATGGTTTGCGCTGTCTGGTTGATCACATGCTCCCGAGCCCCTGGTGCTGCAGAAGCCCCAGCTGCTGCTGATGATGAGCTGGTGCTGCTCCGGATCCGTCCCGGCCCCTGCCTGTCAATGCCTTGCAGTCCTCACCTCCTCTTTAAAGGAGGGAGCGTGGAGGATAAGCTCTTGAGCATATGGGTGGAAATTTGGGAGACACCCATTTTCTCACCACCGCTTCCAGCGCTAACCATGTCTATTTGTTGTTGTCTTTTTTTCAGGGACTATGGATCGTCAAAGAGAAAATCAGGTAAGATGCTGGGCTTTCTATGTACTGCATGATTACAGAGAGGACTTCTTTCCCCCCTCTTCTCCCCCACCCTTTTTAAACCTTCCCTTTATCTTGTGTTGCATGAAATTGTGTAGCAGTTAACTTTTTATTGTTGAAGCCTGCTAAGGACAGTTATCAGTTTCTTTCCTTTGCATGGGAGAGGAGAAGCAACCTATCTGGCATAGTATTGCAGTTAAAATGACTGCTTTCCTCTGACTGTTTTTATACAGCTCCTCCAGTCAGAGAGGATAATTGTATTAATTTTCTTTCTCTTTCATTTTTTTTTTCTTAAGTCAGTCTTTTACCTAAGCAAACAGTTAAAATGCAGCATGAGAGTTGGGGGTCCTTTCCAGAGAGAAAGGAAATGCTTAAATGCTTTTCTGTTCTAAATCTTTTTTTTTTTTTTTTTTTAACCTTTCCAAAAGGCTTTGTTGAGGCTTCTGATGCAAAATGTTCTCAGTGTCTGGGTTTGTGCTACCTCAAAGGCTCTATCTCAGTGTTTTGTTTTTAAGATCCTGGATTCAAATGTCCTATAAAACCCTGATTTGAAACTATATAAATCGAAATTTTCCCCTCCCCTTGTAGCTCTTAGTGATTTTTACAGATGTGTTTTCAATAGGGACATGTAATTATGGGCCTCTGGGTTTGGCTGCTCTGAGCTAGATGTGTCAGGGCTTTCTCTTTTTTCTTTTCTTTTTTTTTTTTTTCCCCAAGCAGTATTGAGCACCTGCAACTCTCATTGACTTTGTTTGGAGTGTTGGGTGCTCCAAATTGCACTCAGGGCATCCAAAGAGAGGCCTTTCAAACCAATAGCAACTCCTGGAAAACTGGCGTGTGTGCAGGGGAGGGGAGGATTTTTTTTCTTCTTGCTTTTTAAGATGTTGAAGAAACACTGTAATGGCTTAGTCTCTGGGAGTGGAGGGAGGGAAGACAGATGTAATATACTGAACTCCAATGAATGTCACTGCCTAAATTGATTTGCTGGTTAATTATGAGAGCTCTTATGCTGCAGTCCTGTAATAAGCTAAATGATGCACTAAAACAGAGCTGCTGCTTGACCCTGCCATCCTGTGCGTTATATGGCTGTTGCTTTGCAGGGCAATACTTGTGGTACTCATTCCCTGAGGTGGGTGGTGGTAATGAAGAGGCAAATGTGGTACACAGTGCTGGCCTGACATGATAAACTAGGGCACACTTCATCTTCCTAATCTCCTACAAAGCTTCTGTCTGAGTTTCAGTTTTAAAATGGGTCCTTTTAGAGAGAGATGCAGTTGCATGTCTAGGACCTCTTAATATTAAGTAAAGTGTTTGCACACAGTGGCCAGTGAATCAGGTTGATGGCAGAAACTTCTCTAGAGGGGCAGGCCATAAAGGTGTAAGAGACTCTGTAGATAGCAAAGCTGAGTGCAGATCCATGTCTCTTTTTCAGGCCATGTAAAGGCCTTTGAAAAATGTTGCTGAAGTCTCTGGGGCAACCTGATTTAGCAGTGACCTAGAACAGCATTAGTAAACTAGGAGAGCTTTGGGCTCAGAGCACCAGTTGATATGCACAGGAGTTGAAGTGTTCTTGGAAGAGATATGAGGAATTGCTTTGGGAGTGTGAGAAACTGCTTCCTCTCCATGCCTGCAGCTCTAGGGGGAAGTTGGAGCTGATCTGCCATGGTATTGGGGGAAGAGAGATTAAGTTGAGTCGGTGTAACAGAGATGCTCGTTGTGGATGATGCTCTGCTTGGCTCTTCGTTGGCCTCCTGCCCTGGACATCCCAAGTGACATGCTCATCTATCCCTGTGAGGGATGGATGTGCAGGTCTGGCTCTCTCCCTTGGCTGTCCCACCTCCACATGCTGCTGGGTCTCTCCTCTTGGGACTGTTTCCCCTACTTTGCTCCTTGGTGCTTGGCTGCTCGCACAGCCAGGACTGGGAAACAGTGATGTTTAGGGATGCTCTTTCTCCACTTACACTGTACTAAGAGGAATGTGAGGCAGCTCTCTGACCAAAGTGAGCTGCATAAAGGGACTCTGTTCTTGGCCATCTTCTTGCTGGATTCTAGAGCAGTGGGGAAAATGTTTCATTTTGCTGGGAGCTGGATATTGTGGGAGTATGTGCACAATGAACGACGGACTATGCCAAGGGAGTTGGTAGTTACAGCCTCTAACAAAGACCAGCTTTATGACACTTGAACAAGTGGTGTGGTAAATAAGCACTGATTTCCAGGGTGTGCTGTGAGAGTCTTGTAAGATAACAAGTAGCTTTGAAATACAGTTTCCTCCATAGGTGCAGACACTACTCTGTCTTTAAACAAGAGACAAATAAGTGCTTTTAAATGCAAGCACCTCCCAACAAATCAGACCTGTGAACATACCTTCTGTCTTGACCAAAGATGTGCTGGGAGGAGGCTTTTGGCTGTGAGCACGGCTGTCCTGCACTGTCTGTCAGGAATCCCACAGCTGCTGCTGCTCAGGCTTGTGTAGGCATAACACAAGTGTGGCTGATTGCAGAAACATTTGGGGAATGCCTCTGACAGCCAATGTCACCTCTGCCCTGACCTCTGCCTTGCCAGAGTGTGTGTCTAACTAGTCCTGTGCTCGCCCCTTAGAGCAGGAAGAAATTGGATAAGTTCAGAGTTTAATAGGAGTTATGGAAACATTTATCGCTGCAGCTGATACTGGTTGTAAACATTTGAGACCTTCTGAACCAAATGCAATAGCATGGCATGTCCTTACCTAAACAGAAGGGAGTCTTGCACTGATCTGGGGCATCTCTGCATGCCAGGCTTCCTCTTGTGCAAAGTGCTATATAAACACGTAGCCTTTTACTTGGATATGATCAAATTCTAAATGCTTTACCCTACAGTCAGCTCAGAGGCCTGGAGCTTCATGGAACAAACTGAGGCTCAGCGTAGGCATGGCTGTTTGCTGTGGCCTGAACTGCCACGTGTGTTGTTACCCTGGATTTGTGGGGCTTTACTTGACATACTGCAGAGCTGCTTCAGAAAGCTGCCTTCATATTTCCAGGCAATTGAATTGTTGCTCTATGACCATCTGTCAGTGCTGAAGAGAACACAGTACAACTGTAAGGAGTGGTTACCATGGGTATATTCTGTACACTCGCAACAAATGGTCTCCTCTAGGTCTCTCCAAAGACCCTCTGTAGCAAAAAGGGAAGGAATTACTTTTCAGACTCCAATTTGTTGATAGCATTAACCAAGTGAACAGCAACTCATTTGTCACTCAAAATAAGCATTACTTCTATGCAAGCATCCATTGTGTGGTTTTCTTTCCTCAAATCAAAATAAGGGCAGAATTGCTGTAAGTCTAGTAATGGATATTTGCATGGTACATTACAAAACCACAAATTAGGTTAATCCACTCTGCAAAACCTACCAGCTACCATCTGTGCATGGGGAACTAATTAACCCTTGAGATGTCAGCTAATCGTGATGTGGCTTGTAAAACCAGTTGGAGTATGTTTCTCCCCAAAGATGTGCCACCTACACCACCCACCTACCCCCTGTTGGCTAGACCAACTTTCAGACTCCTAAAGTGAGATGATCTTGCCCTCTTCCCTTGCTGAGAATCTTTCTTGACTGGTTTCATGCCAAAGTTGTTCTCAGATCCCCAGTCACAAAGCTGAAGCAAGGGTCTGGGACCTGATTTTTGGTGGCAACAGGGAGTTGGTGTGGGCTCCACAGCTTTTCCACACTGAGCCTCAGTGCTCCTCATTTACTGAGAGGGGTCTCCTTGGTAATGGTGGGCTCAGACCTGACAGAAGAGATGCTGCTTCACCTTTGCTTTCAAAGCTAAGGCATGAATCTCTGCCACCTGCCTTGTAGATAGCTGAGCCCTTGTGCTTACTGCTTTCAGCATCCACTAGCAGGAGCACTGCTGGTAACCCCCTTCTGAAATCATAACAAAAACCCCACTGCCTGCTGACTCCCACTGCTCTGACTGCCCTGCTTGCTGCTGGGGGCATAGCTGGCTTGAAGCTGCTTCTCAGCAGCCTTCTCTGGTGCTTTGTTGCTGTGCAGTAGGATGCTCCTAAAAAAAGTTTATGGCTCCATCAGTGCTGCAGTGTCTCCTTTTTCCAGTTGATCAGATCCTGCCTGCATCAAGCTGGCTGTACTTTAGCAAACTCTGCCAGCTGAAGTCTATTTAAATAGCCCCTGTAATTGAGCACTTAGAATATTAACTTAACAATTTGGTCCAGGCCAATGTTGCCTCAGTGAGGATGCTGATGAGGCTTGGCTTCCTCAGCAGAGAGAGCTATCCTTCAACTTGGTTCCCATATCCAATTTCTGGACTAGCAGAGTATGGCAGCATCCAGACAACAAGCTCTGCTTCCTTTCCCTCCTGTGATCTAAAACTAGGAAGGGTGTATCCACTGGCAAGTAAATAAAAACTTCAGAGTCCATTGGAAGCTACTCCTCAAACTTTTTATAGGAACATCTGCAATGCTCTTTTCCCTCAGTTGGGAAATTAGAGTTGAGAGAGTTGCAACAATAATGGAAGTGGGGCCTCCAAGTGAGAAACAAGCAGATCATTGTAACAACACCAAGAGCCCACTTTGTGGTATCGCTGCCTTGGGCTTATGAGTGGAGCTGACAGCAAGGTTTGTTTCTTTAGCCTAATTCTTCATTACTAGGGAAAACCTCTTCCTCGCCCTTGCACACTGAGGGTGTGTACTCTGTCAGCTTCAGGGAGATGCCTAAGAATTACTGTTTCTTTGAGCTATCAGGGATGTTTTTTTCTGCTTCCTTTGTAATTACGAAGGGAAATGGCTTAACTTTTGGCTCTTTCTGTCTTTACAGCTGAGCTATGCTCGTCATTTCAGAACTTAACCTTTCTGGTTCTGTTGCACTGCATGTATGTAGCCTTCACTTAGAGCTCCATGGCATGTCTTGCATCTTTTATTTTTCAGCTTTATTTGCTTCAGTTTGAACTGCCTTCTTTGAGACGATGTGGAGCAAATGGTGTGTGCTAG